CCCCCCATATTAGGACTAGAAGAAAAATTGTTAGCAGACATTAGGGGTTCTGTTTATAGGTAGTTGTTACTATAGGTTGCAGTCTTGTTGTGACAAAAAGTCTACAATAAAACATGCTTTAGTTTATATTTTGTAGATCAAGGATTTAAGATGCAGCTTCAAGGTGGATATTGGAGTAAAACAAAGTATTTTAGTAAAACAAAGTATTTTAAGCTATAAATATCTTAAACTATACAGTGCTAATTAAAAATTTCTTTATACTTCATTCTCAAATTAAATTTTAAAAATTCAAAAATATACATTCATTTTATTAAAACTTTCTCGCACATACTTTACTCACAGGACAAGACTTGGAAAACAGTAGCCTAGGATAATTTAATTGAGATGTGTGTGACCAGCCAGTTATAATATTTGGAAAATAACATTTGCGCAGTCAAAATCTTTTATGGTCCAATCAAGCAGGGCATGGTTATGTTGATTAGCTAATAGTGCACGTTTTAGTTTACCTCGCAAGCACATTACACTAGTAGTAAAGTCAGTCATCCTGAACTTTGGGGTTAAAATGTTACAAATTTTGGTTGATCTAGTGTTGTGATTGTCAGGTGGGTCTGCCTGACAGATTAGAAGGCAGGGTTTCCTTGAAGAACATGTGTAACCCTCATGTCATGTAAGGATATTGGAGCACGGAATTTCATTATCTTGTAGCTCAGAGTAACTGTGGTATGTATAGATATTTTGTATAGCTAGAATATTATTATGTTTGAATATCGGTTTGGTGTCCTATAGGCCTAGTACGTGCACAAGTCGAAACATCTCTCAATTATTTACTAGTGTTATTGTATTGCTGTGTAAATTTGATTCTAATTCTGATTCTAATAATTCTAATTCTAATAAAAACACTTAAAAACATATAATAACACTTATTTATTTGTTGTTATTAACTAATGTGATATCTGAAATTAAACTTATGAGTATTACTGAAAGCACAGTGTAAGGCCTACACGGACCGCCTCTAACTAGCCAATCCCTGTTTACATGCCGTGTAGTAGGGGAATAGAAAGAGCTTAACTAGTGAGCAGGGTGTAGCCAGTATACTGTACTTCCATCATTGAGTATATTAACAACCAAAAGGAAAATTTCCTTGTGTTTGGAATCTACCAATACGAAAGTTGTGCAATCCAGCGAAATTCCGCTATTAATAGCATGTAAAAATATCTGAGAAAATGAATAAAAACATCAACAATATCCAAGTTATTGCTTGCATTTTAGATAATTGACATTTTCAAGTCACAGTTAATTTATGAAATAAACCTGGGGTTCAGTTTAAGTTTGACCCGATCAATGGGTCTTGCAGTGATCATTCCATCAGTTTCCAAATCTGTGACTTCAGGGTAAGGATTTTCTATGTCAAATTCTTGCACAACTCGAGAGATGATCATTTTTGCTTCCAGCATAGCAAAGTTTTTGCCAATACAACTCCTTGGTCCAGCCATGAATGGTAAATATGAGAAGCTTTTAACCTTGGATCCAGATGAAAAACGTTCAGGATTGAAAACTTCTGGCTTGTCCCAATGTCTTGAATCGTGGTGAAGTGCCATAATGGGTATAAAGATATCCGCTCCTTTAGGAATATTCAGGCCATTCACAGACACATTATCTTTAGCACAGACCCGCCCAACACCTCGAACAGGAGGCTTCATTCTCATACATTCTTTGATGACCATCTGCATGTAAACTAACTTATTGACATCTTCAAATTCCAGCATTTGGCCTCGTTCAGCAACACTGTCTATCTCCTCTCTAACTTTAGAGAGGATTTCATTGTTGTTAGCTAGATAGAAGAGTGTAACTGCCATGGTTATGGCAGTTGTTTCCATTCCAGCTATAAGAAAGACTAAATAATCATCTACCAAATCATCTATAGTAAGCTGATCTGAGCATTTGTTGCTTTGGATGATGTGTGATAAGATATCAGAGCTATCAAGTGCATCGGAGCTGGCGTTCATTCTATCCTGAAGATGTCGTTTAACAACTTCTCTCACAATAGGAACTCTGTCTTTTAAAGCTTTCTTTTCTTGGCGATATTTCCAGGGGTAATTAAAATTTCTATCCCTCAGAGTTAGTGACATACCTTGAAGGATGAGAGGTGATGTTTCAACAACAAGTCCTCCGTGCATTGCTATAACATCTGAATCCATATTAAATCCACAAATAGATATTGCTTCAAAGGCACTACGATTCATATCTAAACTTACATCAATTATACCTTCTTTAACTCGTGTGCTCAGAACTCCCAATAAGTTGTTCACAACCGTATTCATGCCAGGCAAAATTGACTTCATAAATGATTTATGAAAACCTGGGTCCATAGCTCTTCTTTTGGTATTCCAAACCTCAGTGCCTGGATCACTTAAGAGGCCATATTTTCCGAATATTCTTACCCCACCAACACTTGAAAATGTTTTCTGATATTGTAAATCCTTTTGAAATGTCTTGTAGTCCGCTAAAACTTTTGCTAATATATCTAACTCTACACAATATATCACGTTTGAAGTGAATAATGGGAGCACAAAGAGATCCCATCCATACTCTTGCGAAAATTCCATGATTGCGTGACCACCAGAGACATATTGAGATTTATTGACTCTTCTTTGAAATTCAGGCAAAAGTCCAAGAAACCATGTAAGAGTCCCAGGTATTGGCGGTGATTTTATGTGGTAAAACTTTCTTCTGATATTGTAAATGTAAGCATTGAGGAACAGGTAGCTAAGAATGCATAGTAGGACTATTGGGAGAATGAGCATCACTTTCTGGATAACACTGAGACTTGAGAGGTATGAACTATCCTGAATTTTAATAATGATCAGATAGATAACTTTGTTTACTACAAAAATGTTCACCATATTTAAGCAACATCGACTGAAATAACCAGAAAAAAATACATAAATTATCCTTATTGAAACAAATGAACAAAAAGCTGAATGTGAGACATTAGTTTATTCAAACTTCTGACGGCCTTAGAGGGTTTGAGGGACGTGCCTTCTGCCAACGATATATTTCAGAAGAGTCTTCCTGCTGTGTATCATCCAACATAAGATGGGAATTAGGCAGTTGCCCAAGCATGTGCAGGGATTATTGCCCAAGCATGGATTATTGCCCAAGCATGCACATGTGTAGGAGACATTTTGATTTTTTGAAGAGAAAAAGCTACCCATGTAGCTGAGACACCTCACAACAAGTAGACCACGTCCGAAAATGGCGTTTTCTCTTGTATCAAATATACTTGAAAATATATCATTCATACTAAAATCAGAAAGGGAAATTTAAAATTAAAGAACTAACACTAAATATATGCCAAAATCAGTCATTGATAAGCTTTTTCAAATTCATGCTGAAACAATTTGAATAAGAAACATTTTGGAAATGCTTTAAAGGGTTCCAGGGAATAATGGTGTTTTAATTTAAAAATCGATACAATACAATATCGAAGTTATTGCTTGCATTTTAGATGATTGCAATTTTCAAGTCATAGTTAATCTATGAAATAAACCTGGGGTTCAGTTTAAGTTTGACTCCATCAAGGGGTCTAGCAGTGATCAGTCCATGAGTTTCCAAATCTGTGATTTCAGTGTAAGGATTTTCTATGTCAAACTCTTGCACAACTCGAGAGATGATCATTTTTGCTTCCAGCATAGCAAAGTTTTTGCCAATACAACTCCTTGGTCCAGCCATGAATGGTAAATATGAGAAGCTTTTAACCTTGGATCCAGATGAAAAACGTTCAGGATTGAAAACTTCTGGCTTGTCCCAATGTCTTGAATCGTGGTGAAGTGCCATAATGGGTATAAAGATATCCGCTCCTTTAGGAATATTCAGGCCATTCACAGACACATTATCTTTAGCACAGACCCGCCCAACACCTCGAACAGGAGGCTTCACTCTCATACATTCTTTGATGACCATCTGCATATAAACTAACTTATTGACATCTTCAAATTCCAGCATTTGGCCTCGTTCAGCAACACTGTCTATCTCCTCTCTAACTTTAGAGAGGATTTCATTGTTGTTAGCTAGATAGAAGAGTGTAATTGCCATGGTTATGGCAGTTGTTTCCATTCCAGCTATAAGAAAGACTAAATAATCATCTACCAAATCATCTATAGTAAGCTGATCTGAGCATTTGTTGCTTTGGATGATGTGTGATTAGATATCAGAGCTATCAAGTGCATCAGAGTTCATTCTATCCTGAAGATGTCGTTTAACAACTTCTCTCACAATAGGAACTCTGTCTTTTTAAAAAAAAAAAAAAAAAAAAAAAAAAAAAAGGAAGCAACTCACGGTATCACTCTCATAAGAGACATGTTTCATCATTTACCGGAGTTGCAACCAAATATACACAATAAGGTTTGGTACTTTATCTGTACCTCCCCTTTCATAGAAATAATAGCAAAAATATACACCTATCTTTAAGAAATCAACATCTGATATAAAACATTTGATCAACCAAAATTAAGACAATTTTCCTGTTAATAATTTAACGGCACTCATAAGTCGAGGTCATACTAGGTATAAGTCCAAATGCTGTGTCAGCAACCGTTTTTGTTACTTTCTTTTCTTCTTGACTCCTCACACCATGAACTGATACCACTATGCTTTTAAGCATAGCAAAGCATATCTTGGTCCTGATGTAGTTGATAACATCTGTGTAGCTCTCCTTTCTCTTCTTTGATATCAATCTAGCAAGACGTTTGTGAAATCTGTCACATTCTGGTGCTGTAGTCCCTGCTGTAGAAAACACTAGAGGAATGAAAGACGCTCTTTCAGTGTTGATGACTCGTGAGTTATACTTAGTTTTTTTTTCTTCCTCATTTCTCTTGTACAACTTGTCCAGGGGAACATTAAGGTTTGATGGTGCATTTGGGTGTGTTATTCTTACATCCATGAAAGTCCTGGCATTCCTGCCATATAATCCAGTTGCAACATTAATGCACGGACTAGACCATTTGCTACCTTGCTAGATGAATCTAGATCAATATTCATCAATGGTAAGGTTATCACTAAAGTCAAGGATACCAAATTTTTAGGTGTTGTTATAGATAGTAAGCTAAACTGGTCTGCTCACATGCACTACATCCGTAAAAAACTGAGGTCCATGACTGGTGCAATCTGTAGAATTCGGCACTCGATACCTGCTGAACTATATTTAAAAATATATAATGCTCTATTTGAATCACATCTAAGTTATGGTATAAGTGTTTGGGGAGTTGTCCTCAAAGAACGGTCAAATGATAGTCTTTTTATCACACAGAAGCACTGTATAAGAATCCTTTTTGGTGATCTCGACTCATATCTAGATAAACAATCAACATGTGCAAGAACTAGACCATATGGCATGCAAATACTAGGCCATAAACATTTTGAAAAGGAGCATACGAAACCCATTTTTAATAGGTTAAAAATTCTTACGGCTCAAAACTTGTACAAATATCACTGTATTTTAGAATTCTCTAAGATTATCAAGTACCACTGCCCATACTCCCTTTATGAGGCTATCAACATTTCAAATAGGGGTGGGCACGAAAATGCAAATTTTCCAAATTTTTAAACGGCCCTGTTTTTTGGGTAAAGGGACCTCCAAAATGAAAAAATAACTTGGTTTAGGGTCAAAAAAGCCCAAAATAAATATTTCCCGCCCCGTTTTCGGTTAGCGGGAGGGTAATTTTTGACGTTTTTGACTAAAATTGGCTTTATTTAATTCATTTTCACCTTTTACACCTCATTGTTACCCATGATTGTGAATCATTATTGACAAACCAGGTAGGGTGAATGATTTCAGCCATCTAAAAATTTTCTGAAGACCCCCAGGGTGCCCGTATCCATGGAAACGGGTCGTTTTGAAAACATTTAAGCGAAATCAGCCAAAATGTTTGTTTTTACCCCTTTTTGCCATTCAAAGACTTTTAACATGGCCAAAAGTATCCAGAAAGACTATTATTGTATATTGTAACTTGTATGCCAACTATAAAAGGTATAAAAACATGATGTTAGGTGTTTTAGTGGTATTTTTGGGCCTTAGCAACGCCTAGCAACGGGGCGTTTTAGGCATTTTAGAGGTTAATACATGTCATTTTAATATCTTACACTCTATTGTTACTAATGAATGTTGATTATTATTAACATACCAGGTAGGGTTGATGATTTCAAGCTTCCAGAGCTCATCTGGAGGCATATTGGGTGCCCGTAACCATGGAAACTCGTCTTTTTTACGAAAAATTGAGATTTCGGTGAAAATTAGGGTTTTTTATAACTTTATCCATAAATATTATACTAGTTATCCTTTATAAACCCTATAACAGTTGTGTATTGGGAGATAAAATGGTAACTAATGTCTAACACTTCAGGGAGATAAGTTTTCCCACTATTTAGGCCCCTAGCAACCCATAGCAACGACGATTTACATGCAAAATAAGGCATAAAATACCACTATTTGACCCAAAACTGCTGAAAATTGACCTGGGTCATGGTAACAACGGTTTGAAACAGTAAAGTGATTACAATTAAACTATTGATGTTAGGGTTCCTCACTATGTAGGCCCCTAGCAACCCATAGCAACACCTAGTTACGTGAGTCTTGGTCGTACCTTCATATCAATACCGATTGTCTGTAAGGTGTGAGTGCCTTTCCTAACTTGCCAAATCCTGGCAAATCCAGTAACGTGTAGATCCTTTAACAAAACTCATGAAAGTTATGGTTGCAGAATCCCCATTCACACTGAGGACCTCCCTTGGGTAAGATGTATCCTCAAACAGCCCTATTACACAGTTGTTCTTCTTAGGAGGCGAACTCTCAGTTTCACCACACTAAACTTGATCTGGATAACTATGACCAATAGAATGGGGCTGTAAGGGTTCTAACTGCTCTTCAACAACTCTGGGGCTTGACTTGGTAACTGGGAGATCCTCTACATTTACTGGGGCAATACTTTTACCCTGATAGCCAATGATAGCAGCCTCCAGATCGTCTACTTCATATCCTTCCTGGCCTATATCATGACCTATTAACTTACCCAAAGGATTTGACATCGATTGATTTTCGTTCGTGCCCTCCTTTCCTCCAGTCATACTGGCTGTATCAATTCGATCAGAAGACCATCCTTACGAGGTCGATGTTTGTAAGTTACATTTTAAGACATCCAAATTTGAAGGGGAACAGAAGCAGTCACTCAAGAGTGTGTTCCAGCAGGAAGCTGACTTGCTGTGTGAAGAAACCAAGGTGGTGGAAGTTATTACAAAATGTAAAGCTTCACACGTTCTACAAGATCTTGTTTAAACAATTGGCTAGCTAAACCGGTATCAGAAAAGCCCCAGAGTTGTTGAAGAGCAGTGAGAACCCTTACAGCCCCATTCTATTGGTCATGGTAATCCAGATCAAGTTCAGTTTGGTAATACTGATGAGAGTTTGCCATGTAAGAAGAACAACTGTGTAATAGGGCTGTTTGAGGATACATCTTACCCAGGGCCAGGGGAGGTCCTCAGTGTGAATGGGGATTCTGCAACCATAACTTTCATGAGTTATGTTAAAGGATCTACACGTTACTGGATTTGCCAGGATTTGGCCAGCTAGGAAAGGCACCCAGACCTTACAGAGACAATCAGTATTGAAGGTACGACCAAGACTGGAGGTCTCACAAATGAATACGGTCCATTTTGTCATATTTGATTTTGTTAACCATGACGATGTTCAAAAATGGTCAAAAGTTAAGACTTTTAATTTCAAATTTCGATTGAAAGCAATTAAAGTCAAGTTCTAAAATAGTTTATTTGATATTGTAACATAAAATTTAACAATTGTTGAAAATTTGACATTCTAGTTTTTACTCGTGTCACGTAACTAGGTGCTGCTATTGGTTGCTATGGGCCTATGCCCTACATAGTGAGGAACCCTAACATTAATAGTTCAATTGCAACCATAACTTTCATGAGTTCTGTTAAAGGATCTACACGTTACTGGATTTGCCAGGATTTGGCAAGTTAGGAAAGGCACTCACACCTTACAGACAATCGGTATTGAAGGTACGACCAAGACTCACGTAACTAGGTGTTGCTATGGGTTGCTAGGGGCCTACATAGTGAGGAACCCTAACATTAATAGTTCAATTGCAACCATAACTTTCATGAGTTCTGTTAAAGGATCTACACGTTACTGGATTTGCCAGGATTTGGCAAGTTAGGAAAGGCACTCACACCTTACAGACAATCGGTATTGAAGGTACGACCAAGACTCACGTAACTAGGTGTTGCTATGGGTTGCTAGGGGCCTACATAGTGAGGAACCCTAACATCAATAGTTTAATTGCAACCATAACTTTCATGAGTTCTGTTAAAGGATCTACACGTTACTGGATTTGCCAGGATTTGGCAAGTTAGGAAAGGCACTCACACCTTACAGACAATCGGTATTGAAGGTACGACCAAGACTCACGTAACTAGGTGTTGCTATGGGTTGCTAGGGGCCTACATAGTGAGGAACCCTAACATCAATAGTTTAATTGTAATCACTTTGCTGTTTTAAACCGTTGTTACCATGACCCAGGTCAATTTTCAGCAGTTTTGGGTTAAATAGTGGTATTTTATGCCTTATTTTGCATGTAAATCGTCGTTGCTATGGGTTGCTAGGGGCCTAAATAGTGGGAAAACTTATCTCCCTGAAGTGTTAGACATTAGTTACCATTTTATCTCCCAATACACAACTGTCATAGGGTTTATAAAGGATAACTAGTATAATATTTATGGATAAAGTTATAAAAAACCCTAATTTTCACCGAAATCTCAATTTTTCGTAAAAAAGACGAGTTTTCATGGTTACAGGCACCCAATATGCCTCCAGATGAGCTCTGGAAGCTTGAAATCATCAACCCTACCTGGTATGTTAATAATAATCAACATTCATTAGTAACAATAGAGTGTAAGATATTAAAATGACATGTATTAACCTCTAAAATGCCTAAAACGCCCCGTTGCTAGGCGTTGCTAAGGCCCAAAAATACCACTAAAACACCTAACATCATGTTTTTATACCTTTTATAGTTGACATA